AAGCCCGCAAAAATTAAAGTGAAGGATCGCTCTAGCCCCCCTCCCCCACGTGATTTTCAGGATCTGTAAAATATTTGGGCTGAGAAAGTGATAACTCTTCCCACAAAAATCCGTCTGTACCTTACATCCGTTAGTCCAGTGTTGCCGTATTGCATGGACACTGATAAACGGCGGTTGACTGGCATACAAGAGCGTTGGATTTCCCGGAAAATGGCGGACAAATGACCTGATCGCTTAAGGAATGACTGTGTTCTATTCCGGGGGCAAATAATCTATGTAGATATAGAGATTAAAGAAGGTTAAGGTTGGCTTTATTAGATAAACTGATTAAGCATATGCCACTTACTTAAGCCTGGCAGCTTTTTCTGTGAGAGCCGAAATACAGTAAACATCAGCCAAGAGACCAGCGTGCAACATGGAGGAGTAAGGGAGTGCCGAGTTTGCTTTCACAGAAGAACATTTCTTTTTACAGTGAAGTAACCGGTGCCTCATAGCAAAAGCAAATACAGCGGACATCACAAGCCAATGATGCTTTTTGCATAGAAACGGCATAAAGGGATTATCTGAGCAATAATTTCTTTGCTATTCACTTCTGGAAGAAATTATGTAAAATAAAAATTAAGTCTATTATTCCGGGATTACTAGCGAGATGCTAACTTTGAATGTCGCTATTAGTTTTGTCGATTTTTTTCAATTTTCTAGATTTGCGTTTTCATATTCATTTTTATATATAAATACAAACCGAAGTGTATTCTTTGAAGTCTGAACATGTTTTTGTTCAAACTAACACAGTTATGTCGCTTTTCAATCATTTATGTACTGCATGTTCAAAACCATGAAGCCTCATCCTGATTGTAGTTTTCTGAAATCAAGGGATGGAGTGACTACGCCATGTAGATCTGTAGAATTGGCAGGAGATTTTTAGCCTTATCTGCGGTAGTGAAAAACAACAGTTCGACAGTAAACTCATAATACCTGGATCAGTTTTAATTAAGCAAGATTTTCAAGGTTTCTTCAAGGTGGAGAGGTAAAGCAGTTGGAACGTTGGAAACCCGGCCTTCTCGGCGTTGCTTTCGGTGTTCAAATCGAATACTCATGCTTGAGAAGTCATCGACGGATTATGTTCATAGACTGGAAAACAGGTTAGTACTGAATCAGATTTGCTCTGTTTTTCTTCGGATGAATGGCACACAAAGTACAGCAAAAACTGTTAGCTGGTTCACAACTTTCTGCATTCAAATATAGCTATGGTAATCGCCCTCAGCCATATTTTAGAATTAAAAATTACTCCTTACCTGTGCAAGAGGAGCAGATCGTAGAGCGGCATGTTTGACACCAAAAACCATCGCTCATGTCCACATTAGTACCGCAGTTCGAACATTCCAGTTGTCCTCCAAAGCGACTAGCGAGTTCGTCAATTCCAAAGCCCCTTAGGGAGGTGACCTGGCGACAGTATGGACAGCGTATTTGTCCGTTGAATTCGATCTTTTCCAAACAAGAACTACAGAAAGAATGGGAGCAAGCCAGTCGTTTCAGTTTCGCGAAACTATAGCTGCACACGGCACACTCGAGACTCATGATGTCGATAGTGAGGCGGATGAGGTTGCGTCTCAGAATTTATGTTCGGCAAGTGATGGTGTTTGCGACGGACGCTGGAGCTGGTGGTGGTGGTGGAGGTGGTAGCGGCTAGATTCAGTGAGTGAATAACAACAGACGCCTAGGCGATCAGCAGATGAGCTCCGCTACGACGAGGAGACAGAGGCGAGGTTGTTCTTAAGCAGCAGTGCTTTCCGCCCCCTTAGTTATCGACAGCCTCTCCAGCTACTTGCCACCTCACTTACTTGCCATAAGTCACGTGATTGATAAAAACAGGTGACCATGACGAATTTGAAGACAGCCTCAACGGATACGCGAAGATCTCCTCTGGTCATTGTTGCTGAACTTCGAAGTTTCGAAGAGTTGTGAGTTTCTGACGTTGCCTCTGCTCCGCCAGTTTTCCATACACTCATTCGAAGCCGGAAGTGGAGCAGAGAAAATGCGCTGGTAGTGATTCTCGCCCTTCGAAGCTGTCAGCCTGGAAGCAACGCGTTGCATTT